TCTTGGGACAAGTTATCCTGAAGCAAAAACCAGCTAACTGCATAAAGACGCGTGGATGAGGGTGTTACCGCAATGATGATATGCGAACTGAAAAGCCAGGAAACGCCTGTATGCTCATGAAAAGGGGACAGTGTTGAAATCTGTATACAATAGAATGCTAGGCAGCCAATAAATAGGATCATGTGGGGTTTTTTTTAACATAGGAAAAATGTTCTCAATCTATTGCTGAATGAAAAAAATGATAAAACTATTGGGTCGTCGGAAAAGTCATGACGTATTTTTCTATGCATTTCTATGTAAAAATGTGTCATGACTTTTCCGACGACCCAACAGATCTAGTGTGACCCTCTTTTCATCTGAAAAGAAAAAAGCACACACTCGGAGCAGAAGAAAGATGACAGGAAAGAAACTCACAGACGTGCTTTCTGAGGCGGTTGGACGAGTGACCGTGGAATGGAGTTTTGGTCTTGCTCTGCTTCTGCTTGTGTGTATTTTCTCAAGTTCTTCTACAACACAATACGTATGGCTTTCTTAAGTTACCAAGGCACTTTAAAGAAACGAATACACAGCTGCCAGGGCTTTGCAGGAAGTGTGAATGTGCAGAGCTTTTGTTCACAACTGTCCGCCCCAGGAGCCCTCAGCGATGCTCAAGAGACGTTGTGAAGGCTGCAGAGAGGCTCCCCCAGAAATGCTAGTCCTATTACAGCAGCACGTTCCCTGCCCTTGTCACGCCCTAACATCTTCATCCCACACCTAGAACACACTCAGTGCTCACGGGGCAGTGTCACTGGGACAGTCCCCCCACAGGTCATGACTCCTGGTCTGTCCTGCTCCCCTGTCCTCTGGTGCCCCCAAGGTTATGGTGATGGCTTTGGGATAGTACGTCATGCTCACCATGCAGACCATCCGCAGTGTGGCCATCCGCTTGGTTTTCTTTATTATTAAATGTATTTGGGTGACACTGGTCAGTAAAAGTATGTAGGTTTCAAGCATATAATTCTATAATAACCATCTATATATTGGATTGCATGCTCACCATCCAGAGTCAGTTCTCCTTCCATCACCATGTACAATATTTGACCCCCTTTTCCCTCCTCTACCTCCCCCTCCCCCTTACCCTCTGGTGACCACTACACTGTTGTCTGTGTCTATGAGTTTTTGTTGGTTTGTCTTGTTCCTCTGTTGCTTTCAGTTTTATGTCCCACATATGCGTGATGTCATATGGTTCTGCTTGGTATTTTTAATCACCCAATTTGTGTTATTCTTCTGCCCCTCCCTCCCTGTCACTGTTCACATCATTCCGTCTGTCACCCCTTTCATACTGACCAAGAGAGCTCAGGGTGGCAGCATTTTCTGGGCTGGGCTCCCTCCTCCCTTCTGAACCCTAAACCGGGTGGTCTCCATCCTCACCGCGTCTTCAATTCCCCTGGAAAGGCTCCTTAAAACTATGACGCCAAGGCCATACTCCTAGAGATCCTGATGTGTTTGGTCCACAGTGGGAAGCATTTAAAACTCTCACCCCAGGGGAACCCAATGCTTTGAGAAGGCTTGGCTGACGCCCTGGAACCCGCATGGCATCTTCAGGTCCCGAAGGAGTAACTAACGTCTGGGGTGACAATGCTTCTGCAGAGGGGCCCCCCGCAACCTCTGCTTTGTCGCTAGACAGACCTGATTAGCCAGGTCACCGCCTCAAATCAGCCTTTGCAATAAAAAATGTCGCTGTCACTGAGGCTGTCGGCCAGGTGGGGAGGCCATGTCAGCCGTGCAAGTCCCACTTGACTCGTTCCTGAACTGGCCGGTGTGCGGCTTCCCTCCTGAATGCCCGGAGCACCGCGTATGAGTCTCTCCGGCTGTCACTCAGGAGCGGGCAAGCTGACAAGAATCCATCCTGCTCCCCAAGTTCCGTGGGGTCAGTGTAAGCTTTCTTCTCTCCCCTCCGTCAGGGCCTCATCACCTTTTGCCTAGACGGGTACAACAGCCTCGAACCAGCCTCTTCCCCCCCGCACCCCCCAGTCCAGTCCATTTCTTGGGCCACCGCTGCAGACATCCTTCCTGACTGATTTCCCCAGGCCGCGTCGTTCCCCTGTGTAATGCCTAACTGCCTGACTTACATCGCTGTCAGTGAGAACAACCGATATGAAACTAATTCTAATGGCTCCACATTTTCTGAGTTCTCACTACGCACCAGGCACTATGCTAGCTAAGCATGTTACATGCACTGCCGCCTTTCCAAAACGTGTTGTTGTGGACGTTTTCAAACATACAATAAAAGGGGAAAGAATAGCACGGGGCCCCCCACTCTCTTCTCCGTAATTCTAAAATCCGAAACGCTCCAAATTCCAGAAGTTTGTCATCATTTGGTGCTAAAACTCATGTGGCAGCAAAACCTTGGCAGAATAAGTGTGAAATTACCTACGTTTTCATTTAGTCCACATGACATCACACATTTACTTACACAAGTCCTCACTTACCATCAGAGGTCAGCTCACGGAAACGGCAACTTGAAGCGAAATGATGGCAAACGAAACAAATGCTACCATAGGCTAGTTATATACACAAGAGTTAAGTCCCTGCAGCCTATTTCTGGTCACAAAAACATCACCAAACTTCTAAATAAAGACCCAGAACACCTCTAATATAAAAGACTGAAATAAATGTGAGCTGTACATCCATTTACGCAAGTTGAATAAAAACAAGTCAGATCAGTATTTTCCGACCCGCCAGGTCCAGTTCAGGGTCACAGGTGGCCAGAGCCACTCAGGACGCCAGGCAGCACCCACCCTGGACAGGACGCCTTCTGTCACAGGGCCACTCACACCCGCCCATGCCCACTCAGCCTGGGAAAACGCAGACAAGCCCGTTCACCTGAAAGGGCACATCTTTGGTTTGTGGGAGGAAGCCGGAGCACCCAGAGAAAGCCCACGCAAACGGAGAGAACGTGTAAACCACACAGACAGCGCCCCGGCCAGGAGTCGATTTCTTTCTCAGAAACATTATAATGAAACAATGTTGAACAAAAGACTTTATAGGAGGACCTGATGTATCTAATTATGGGTGCTGTCAGGCCCCCACTACAGGTGTGATGTAATGCACAGCGCACGCACCTGGATGCCTTTCTAATATCTGAATTCAAAACCACGGGATTTTAGGATACGGAATTGTACCTGTAAAACGAGCACCTACATACCTGCAACTTAGATTCACCAACCATTAGCGTTCTGACATCTTTGCTTTTCCATCAATCTCTAGACACAGATGATGCTACAGCTAGAGATAAGGATGGGGAGAGGGAGATGGAGGTGGAGGGGGAGATGGAGACAGAGATTGTTGTGGCCCCCAAAAGATACATTATCCACATCAGGTTCCTAGAGCACTGTGAATGTCACCTTATTTGGAAAATAGGTCTTTGCAGATTTAATTAAAGACTTTGAGATGAGGAGATCATCCTGAATGACCCAGGTGGGCCCTAAATCCAGGGACAGGTGTCTTTGTAAGATACACACAGACAGAAGAGAGGAATGTCCAAACAGGGGCAGAGATTAGGGTGGCGTGGCCACCAGCAACGGAAAGGGAGGCACATCAGCAGTGGGAAACACATGAAGGTCATTCCTTTAGAGCCTCTAGAGCAAGTGTGGCCCTGCTGACACCCTGATCTCAAACGTCTGGCCTCCAGCACGTTGAGAGAATACATTTCTGCTGTTTCAAGCCTCCCAGTTTGTGGTAACTCACTGCGGCAGTGCCAGGAAAGTAACACAGATTTAAATACACGTATGGATACTGACGTAGCTGTAGACATCGGATGAACCACGTGAAAGTACATGCAGCCCTGACGATGCCTCACGCCTAGACCCTTCGGCGTATGCATCTCAACAAACCCTCCCAGAGCCCTGGGAGGTGTGTCATTGTGCCCGTTTCAGAGGCCAGGAAAGGGACGCACGTGCAAAGTACGCCCAGCTCCATTTCTCACCACTCCCAGAGTCAGGCGCAAAACAAGAGGACTGTGCCTAGCCTGCCACTGAACGTACCAGTGAGACTTCCAGGGGGATTTAGGGAAGTGGGGACACCCAGCAGGAAGGAGAGGTGAGGGCAGGCAGGGTGGGGCTGCCCCTCTGAGAGGCAGAACGCACCTTGGGGGCTCTTGGCAGGGGAGCAGCCGTGCTCCCGCCAACAAGGAGAGCCCCCGTGACCGTGCGAGCTGCGCCAGTCCTGTGTGCCAGTGCTCTGTCCTTCCTGACCCCATGCCCAGTGAGTAGCCAGGGTCAGCCAAGGACATGGCAGGGCTGGGATAGCTGCCTCCTCAGCGGGGATGCCTGCGTGTGTCTGAGCAACATGACACAGGCAAATGTTGCTACTGGGTCAGCTGCACCGAGATGGGAGCTGCCTGGGGAGCTAATGAGCTCGTAAATTGGAGAGGAATCCGACTATCAGATGGCAGAGGCAGGACACAGAACGGGCAACCACTGGAGTCTCTGCCATAACTCAGGGGAAGCCCAGCATTTTCCCAGGAAGAGGTCATCTGAAGAGCAAATCAAATCACGATGCTCCTTTAGAGTACAATTTATGGCTCTATTAGCAAAGTACCCCACGAGGCTGACGTGGGGAGCTGGGAGAAGAGGACACATCGGCTGTCTTTCAACCTACAAAGCAGGGCCCCCTTAGGGGTGAGACCCTTTTGGCACTTTCAACAGGGAGGCTTGGAAAATCTTGACAAGGGGCAGTCTGTGAGGTGCCTTAGGGACCCTGCTGGGAGCAGCAAGGAGAGAACAGGGCAAGCAGATTCACCCCAGTCACCCCCAATTTGACCAGAGAAACAAGTGGGTTATATAAGGAAGTCTGAACAATTCCGTTTAGTGAAAATGAGTTGTACCGTTAAAAAAAGGAAAAAAATTTGTGTTTTTGTTTTGTTTTGTTTTGGAAACCCATCGCATACCTTTTTCAGCTAAGCCACTGCCATCAGCAACAAGATTCCTTCAATGGTGACACATGAGCACTTACCGTGTCGCAGGCCCCTGCAGTCGGCCAGGTGCTGGAGACGAGGCGTGAGCTAAGCAAGCGTGACCCCCAGCCTGTCGGAGTGGACAGTCTCCTGGGCAGAGAGATGCTGGAAAGAAAGAATTCACAAACAAATGGATAAGTTGTTATATGTTCAATACAGGAAGACGGAAATATAAGACAGAATAGCAGCAGGGAGAGAGTGGGGGCAGAGAAGGCTTCTGAGAAGAAGTGACATTTAAATTGAAACCAGATACGAATGGAAATTAGTTGGCAAAACAAAATGGATTTGTGAGCAGACCTGGACGGTTCCTGAAACATTATCACCTTCTTTGAACAACCCATCCATGTGCAGAGGGAGTAAGGCAGCCCTTAGCACTTAAACATCCCACACTACCTGATTATTTTTTTCAATATTTGTATTAACGGGGCTGGTTTCCCTCCCATACACCCAGTGCCAGCACCCTGGGTGACACTAAATGTGGTGGAAGGCCTCAAAGGCAACGACCCTGACCGTGACATTTGCACAGCGTGGATTCCAGGAAGCTTGGGTCACTCATTCATCCATTCATTTGTTCAACAACGTTTGCTGTTTATTTATGACGAGACAGGGGCCATGCTCGAGTGGGAATGGAGTAATGAGGGGTATTTGAACCCAGCTTCCACACAGCATAAAACAAAGGAAAGACAGGTGGATTGGCAGTGTGAGAAGGGCACACCTAGGGGACCCCACTGAGGGACGACAAGCCGCGGATAACATGTGGCAGGTGCTCGAGAGCGTGAACCGTGGTGCAAGGCTGCCTGGGTCTGAAGCCTAGCTCTGCCACTTACTAGCTGTTCTACCTTGGGCAAGTGGCTTAACCTCTCTGTGCATGCATTTCCTCACTTCTAAAATAGTACCTCATAATGTTGGCACGAGGCTTGAATTATTCATATTCATAAGTGATATATAGTAAGAGCTACAGAACTGCTTGATGAGTAGATTGTAGCAAAATGCAAATAAATGTTTTACTTTTAAAAAGTTTAAATGAAGGAAGCACAAAGAACATATATATAAATAACCACGTATTCACCAAAGTTGAGAACATCTCATCAGGGTGTGTATGTGTGTGTGTGTGTGTGTAAAGCAACCCAATCTCCTGTGCTCTTACCCAGGACTCCTCCCCTGCCTGTGACCATGAACTTGATATGTATGTAGCCTAGTCAATGTTTTTATGATCTATTACCGACACGTACCTATAAACCATATTGAGTATGTGTAGTATTTGTTTATAAAAATAGAATCCTATCATGCATATCAATTTGGAATTTGCATTTCTGCCCAACATTACGTTTGAACATCCGTGCATGTTGATGCACGTCTAGTTCAATCATTTTAACAGCTGTCTAGTATCCCACTGTGCGAGTATATGATAATTTATTTATCCATTCCCCTCCTCATGGACAGCCAGGCTACTCCCAGTGTTTCATGATCATAAACACTACTGCATAACTGGCCTTGAACCTGTTTTGCCATGAATATGAATAGGAGTTTCTACACCTAGACGTGTACTTGGAAGTGTCACCACCAGGTCAGCGGTTATTTGCATCTTCAACTTGACCCCATACTGCCAAACTGCTCTCTGCAGTGGTTTCCACTCCCACCAGCAGTGTCTATTAAAAGTTTAAGTCTGGATTATCTCAGCCTGGAATAACTATGTCCCGAGACTCTTCCAAGGATGCATGGATCTTTGCATCCATCTTAGTCCCATCCTCATTCCATCTTTGTGAGAGAGAGCTGGGGGGGTCCCAGCTAGGAGAGACAACCAAGGTGCAAGGGTGCTTATAGGCTTGCCCACAGCTGCCAGGGCCTTGGGTAGGCATCAGAGCATCTGCATTCCAATCAGATATGCTGGCCTCGAGACCAGTGGTATCTCAGCTGTGTTCCTTAGAGCACCAGGGTCCTATGGTGCCATCCAGTTAAGAGGAGTGGGCTGTGGAAAAGAAGGTGGAAAGGGAACACAGCCAGAAAGAATTCTAGGCCTCCCCTCCTCATCTCAGCCCAAACACTTCTGCTCTAGCCTGTATGCGTGCAGAGAAAGGCTTTATTTGGAAAAAAAAGAAGGGTCCACTGCTTAAAAGGGAGGGGAGGGGAAGCCTAACTTTAATAAAGAAATTGAATCAATAATTAATAAACTTCTGGGCCAGCCAAGTGGCACATTGGTTAAGAGCTGGCTTGGGACGCCAGAGGGCCCAGTTCGGATCCCACATATGAGGGCCAGTGACACTGCCCTCTACAGCTAAGATGCTGAACAACAGCTCAACCTGGAGCTGGGCTGCCTTGAGTCCCCGGAGATGGCACAGGCTGCAGCCCCTGCTGAAGTGGGTTGCCATGGGCTACCATGTGTAACCAGTAGCCAGTGTGAGCGGCCCTCAAGCCACTGTGAGCGGCTGTCCAGAAGCTGGCGACTGATCTGCCTCGCCCGGGAAGAGCACAATGATGGTGCCAACTTGGGCCAGTGAAGCAACGTCCTCCACAACTAAACTGAAGAACAAAAACAACAGCAGTTGTCTGTTCCCCTTCCCCCAATTCCCCAGTGCTGTACCCATCCCCCAATTCCCCAATAAAAATCTTTAAAAAATACTAATAAGAATAATTAATAAACTTCCAAAATAGACAGCTTCAGGCCCAGATGAGTTCACTGATAAGTTCTACCAAACATTTATGTTAGAAATAACAATTCTCTATAATCTCTTTCAGAAGACCAAAGCCAAGGGAATACATCCTAACTCATTCTATGAGGCCAGCATGGCCCTAATACCAAAACCAGATAAAGACATTATAAGAAAACTACAGATCAATATCTGTCACAAACATACACCAATATCTGTTATGCAAAAATCCTCAAAAAAATATTAGCAAATCAATCCAACAATGCATAAAAAGAATTATACATCATGACCAAGTGGGATTTTTCCCAGGTTTGCAAGATTCAAAAATCAATTGTGTAATGCAATCAAATTAATCTAATTCATCACAGCAACAGGCTAAAAAAGAAAAAGCACATGATAATATCAATTGATGCAGAAAAAGCACTTGGCAAAACCCAACACCCACTCATGATAAAGCTCTCAGTAAACTAGGAATAGTGGGGGGATTTTCTCAACTTGATATAAAATATCTACAAAAATCCCATTGCTAACCTCATACTTAAGAGTAAGAAACTTGAAATTTTTCCACTAAAATCAGAAATAAGGCAAGGGAACCCTGGTGCACTGTTGGTGGGACTGCAGATTGGTGCAGCCACTATGGAAATCAGTATGGAGGTATCTCAAAAAAACTGGAAATGGAACTACCTTATGACCTAGCAATTCCACTCTTAGGTATTTATCCAGAAAAACCAAAGACACTAATTCGAAAAAATATGCACTACTATGTTTACTGCAGCATTTTTTACAATAGCCAAGACTTGGAAACAATCAAAATGCCCATTGGTAGACGGCTAGATTAAGAAACATTTTACACAATGGAGTATTACTCAGCTATAAAGAAGAAGGAAACCGTACCATTTGCAACAATATAGATGGAACTAGAGAACATTATGCTAAGTGAAATAAGTCAGTCAGAGAAAGACAAATACCACATGATCTCACTTATATGTGGAATCTAAAAAACTGAATAAACGAGTAATATAAACAGAAATAGTCTCAGAGACACAGAGGAAAAACTGATGGTTGCTAGGTGGGACGGGGTGGGGATGAGGGAGAAGGGGAAGGGACAAGACAACATAAGTTGGTAACTACAATATGGCCTCAGGGATAGAAAAGACAGTTTGGGGAATACAATCAATAAGGTTGTCAATATTTTGTAGGTTGTCAGATCGTCACATGTCTTGTCAGGGAGACCACTTCATGGACAGTGTAGAGGCCTGACCACTGCAGTGTACACCTGAAGCTGCCGTTGAATATTATATGTCAACTATAATTGAATACATATATAGTCATGGGATGTGGAGTATAGTGTGGGAATGGAGTCAATGGAATTTTAATAGATATGTATGATATCGGGGGTGGGGGACAGTGGGTGGGGGAGAGAAGTTGTCACTTTGTGAGGGGTGAAAAGGATAACTATTGTATTGTGTTTTGTACACCTGAAACTAATAATAATAATTAAAATTAAGAAATAAAAAAAGAAGGCAAGGATGTCTCCTCTCACCACAGCTTTTCAACACTGTACTGGAAGTTATAACTAATGCAATAAGACAAGAAAAGGAAGTAAAAGGTTTACAAATCAAGAAGAAAGAAATAAAACTGTCATTGTTCACAGATGACATGATCATCTATGTAGAAAGTCCACAAATCCAAAAAAAACAAACCAAAATAAAATAAAACCCACCCTTCTGAAACTACTAAGTTATTAAAGCAAGGTTGCAGGATATGACATTAATATACAAAAGCCAATGGCTTTCCTACATACCAACAATGAAGAAGTGAAATTTGAAATTAAAAACACAATACCATATACAATTAACACTCCCCCCCAAAAACCACTTAGGTATAAATCTAAAAAAAAAAAAAAAGTACAAGATCTATATGAGGAAAACAGCAAACCTCTGATGACAGAAATCAAAGAAGAGCTAAATAAATGGAGAGATATTCCATGTTCATGGATAAGTAGATTCAATATCGTCAAGATGTCAATTCTTCTCAACTTGCTCTATAGATGCAATGTAATCCCAATCAAAGTCCCAGCAAGTTTCTGTGGATACTCACAAACTGATCCTAAAGTTTACGTGGAGAGAGATAAAAAGACCCAGGATAGCCAACACAATATTGAAAGAGAAGAGAACTGGAGGACTGACAGCAACCGACTTGGAGACTTACTATAAAGCTACAGTGATCTAAACACCCTGTCCCATCGAAGGGGTGGGTATTTCCCTTCCCCCAGGTCACCTGGGCTCTGATAAAACCCCAGAAGGTTAGGTTCTGGCTAACGAGTTTCTCCTGAGGGCTAGCTTATTTAAGAAGAATAGAGTTATCTGGCATATTTCAAAATGGTTCTTTTTCCCCTACTATCAGAAGCACAAAGATTTTTCTCCAATATTAACAATGAGAAACTAGCCAAGCTCC